ACACACATACATACATACATACATACATACATAAACTTTATTTAAGCTCGAATTTCAGAGCAGCTTGACAGGCTAATATTTCCGAGAACAAAATATTTGATAACGAAAAATTAAAATAGAAATTGCTATTTACATATTTACAATTGACTTATATTAACTAATTATAAAATTGTCATTTACATGTTTCATGAATTGGCTTTACTGATGTGCTTTTTGAAGTCTGAGAAGTTACATAACCTTATAAAATTGGGTAGAGAATTGTGTAAGGACCTTAACGGTTTCTTGACTTTAAAAATTTGAAAACATTGAAAAAATGGATGCACACGCGAACACAAGTGCAAATTTTACCAAAGACAGTTCAATACGTGCGATGTTGTAAAAGCGTAAAGTACGATGTGTAGAATAATTGGAAACCGTTATTTGCGTTAATTTCAGTTAGAATTCTACTAAAACATCGCTCTCGATTTCTATGAGGCGATAGTTGATTCGGCTTTCGGTCTCATCAACTATCCCCTCATAGAAATCTCAAGCTCATAATCTAATTGTTAAATAGTGCTGTACTCTCCAAAGGGAGGTATTGGTTTAGTTACACAATAAAAATGGTAACCATTCCAGACATTATGTCAAAAATCTGAGATATCATAGATGACTGGAATATAAAATACCTTGCCAAAATTTCGGTCTGTACGGTGTTTCATAGCCTCGCTGTTCGGAGAAATATATCACTCGAATTTATAGAGCTTTATGATGAGACACCCCCCTATCCCTCGGAATGCCACCAACATGGCGGTCGTGAAGTATCAGAAACATCTGTAATCTGCTATTAAATCGAACCATTGTTGCTCTGGAGCTCCGACGCAGTAAAATTAATACTTCATCTACCTTGGACCGTAATTTTCATGTCACCCAACTTATAAGCTTGAAAATTTAATTAATACATTTGGCAAATGCATGCATCTTTATTTTCAGTGAATTGGTTACAGGGACTTGACCCCGGGTTGTCAAATCTTTTGCGTGGAATGTCCATCCTGTTAAGGATAAATAATAATTTTTTATCAGGGATAATGACGTCAAAATTTCGCCAAGGAAGACAGGAGCAATTTTCCTGTGGAGGTCTTTTCATGTGGGTACAATTCTGTCATACGACCTTGACTCGTTTGACTGCCAACGCACACCCATGTGGCTGCTATGATGCATAAAATGAGGGAGCAGACTCATCGTCTGGAATTCATAAACGAGTTTCAATGAGTAATTTAGCTCCAGGACTTAGATCCATGTCATCAAAACTGACCAGTACTGATCCAGGAGTAGTTATTATTGCGTTTTAACCCCGCGCGTGGATTGGCTGAATAAACTCGGAATCTCCAAATTTGGTGCGTGGTAACCGGGTGGACTGGAAACGGCCTGGTTCACAAGTCGCTCGAGGTTTCGTTCAGTTATGCTGGTAATTTACCCCGGTGAAACAGCTAAAAGAAGAACTAGGGCAAAGTGCTACAATAGAAGGGCTGAGGGAAGGAAGGGCTAGAAGTTTGGGGGGCTTTCACGTCGCAAAAAGTATTCATATTTATGGTTAACCGTGGAAGAAATCAAGAAACAGGAAGGAATCACCTTAAAGTCAATTATCACACAGAAGTATCGTCATACTTTTAATAACCGCTCCATTCCCGTCCCCAAAGCCGCCTAAGTAATTCTGAACGGCCTGGTACACATATGTTTCGTCATGGACCTCATTGAAAATTCTCTCCTTTCACCAGTTTCAAACTACGTAAATTAGGTATTAGAAACTGCTTTAGCACTTATTTCACTTATTTCTTTGTACCATCAGTTAAATGCTCTCGGAAGCATTAATCCCAACTTTTTCCTGTCTCACCTTGACATATATAACAATTATAAATTTGTGTCATAATGGAAAGTGATTTTTTAAAATAGAACACAATGTACTGACGCACGATTATATTCAACCATTCTTCAAACCAAACAACTCAGTCAAATTCTTCCTTACTTTATCTGTTTTTGTTGATTCGAATTGTCCTAAACCAGTCTAACGTTGTATAGAATTGTGACCGATTCCCATTTAAAAGGGCTTGTCACAAGTCACTGAGGGCCTCTTCATATGAGCCCGGTGCCTGAGATCCCACCTGAATTCCTTTTTAAAAATTTCGATGTGTTCGTGTAAGAAGGCAGAAAAGTCCGGTTACCGAGATCTCGGTTTGTACAACCAACATAGCAGTAAAAATGGCATAAGTTTTCCCTTATGCATTTCCACTTCAGAAGTATTTTTATCGGTAAAGTTACATGTGTCAACAAAGCTACGATAGTCGGCAACAATGCAACTTTATGTGGCACCACTGTGGTCTTGTTTCTTGTATTTCATCCCTGTCGACCGGGCTGAAGATTCGTCCTGATTACTGAGCCCGCCTGGTCACCGGGATCATATCAAGAGGCCCTAAGAAGTACTAAATAATAATCTTTGACCGAGCCATGCGCTTCTCTCACACAGACATGCCCATAACAAGTACAAACAACTTCTCGTACCAATCTAATGGCACTGATACACGGTAAGCTGATATCACTTGAACTCCTAATAAGGAGAAAATTAAAAATAATAATAATAAATTTCCGATCCATTAGCTTTTAAACTAAAGATTGTTTCTGTACTCCTTATTGAAAGTTGCACTTTTCTCACCAAAACTTGTGTTTCAAATCATTAAACTTGCATTGCCCTTGTTTTTGTTTTCCTCTCCTGAGAGCCACGGCCAGACTCTTGCCATTCAGTCCGTGAAAACATCGAGAATTTATGGTAATTGAAAACATATTAGTAAAATTGCTGTATAACAGCGAATAAAGCCGTTTGAATGGGCTTGCACTGTGCTCACGTTGCAGGCGGTTTGAGTAACCAGACCTTTATCAAAGGACACAAGAATTTGCATCCCCGGAGATAAAGGGAATCGCCGCTTTTCCGACTACTGCCTGCTAAAAGTAGAATTTGCACAGCCGTTGGACAGAAGTTGTCCTGAAGGAAAAACAAACAAAAGTGAACTAGGAATATCATGGAAATAGTCTAATCTGCTACAAAAGGAAAGAAGAACATCATACCGAGTGAGATAACAAATCTAGCAACCAACAGAGCGCCAATTCAGTTTGATACAAAGTTCACAACAGTTTCTCTTTAGACGCATATATAACAATTGAATCTTACGAAAGTCATTATTAGTCACGGTGTCTTTGAAAGCTGCTTATCATCTTATAATAATAATGTAAATAGCTAGTGAGATTCCGCGTGAAATGTTACAAGGAATTGCTTTTCAGTGACAGAAGTAGTATGTTATTGCCATTATGATTCTTTGAATAGTTTCGCTATTTGTTGAGAATTTGTTCTCATAAATGTTGAACCGTTCAAAATATTAGAGGATTAAATGTCTCCAAACGCTATTCTCTTTAACAGCACAAGCAATAAATCACCCAAGTGACAAAATGATCAAATATAAAAATAAAAGCATATGCCTGATTCACTACTAACGTTTTCAAGTTTTCATTCTGTTATGCTTTACATAAACTTTTTCTACTCTACGAAAAGAGGCTCCATTCTTTGTTTCTTTCTTTGTTGAGATACTCTTTTCAAAAAATCTTACAGCAAATTTGATGATATGTTTTGGCTGAAAACCAGAGCAACAGAGAAATCCTTTTTTACATCTGCTGTGCTGAATAGTTTTACAGTTACATAATGAAAGCCTTGCTATTCGTTCTACGGTACAACAATTAGGGGTCTTTGCTTAACTGCCGACGTTTTATTAATCAATGGAAAAATAAGACGATTTCTCGATAGGAGCCATTTAGGTATTTCCGCCAATAAATTAACAGCACATTTTAGCTTCAATGTAGATTAAAGTTTCAGCACTTAGGGCCATTTGTCAGAGGAACCAAGTTGGTCATGCCACAAGACCACATTGTAACTAGATATGCTTATCAGTGGATCAACGCCGCTAACCCTGAAAAGAAGCCATTAACTAAAAACCCTAAATCGATGACTAATTCCGAAACAAGAGGCAATCTGCCCATTACTAGATTTATAGTAGATTAATGTCTAATGATTTAAAAGTATCTTATAGAATTGAAAGTCGCTTTAACTGCTCTTTATTTGATCGTTTGCCTTAGCTTTGTTATAGTATTAAAACATGTGGCTTACGGGCGTGCACGTCTTGAAAGATTGGCCCTCGGGCTAAATTAAAATGTTGGTTTTGTTTATGTTTGGATAATATCCATCTTCACCGGAATGTTCGATGAAGTGGGTCTGTTAGAGAGGTAACGGGGTGTTGAAGATGTGCGACGTTGATGCATGGAAGGGTGCGCCTTCTTACTCCCTGAATTTAACTTTGTTTAACCCTTCAGCATAGCTCGCCGACTCGAAAATCTTTTCTCCTCAGGATATAATTGAGTATAAATATGGTGAATACTTTCACAGCAAGATATTTTCCGTCGCATTAGATCATATATATTTTAATTTGTTACAACGTGCATTCAATTATTTCGCCCATTGTGCCAAAGTTAGCTTTTTTGGGAAATTCTGCTTCACTTCCCAAAATTTAACTGAGTGCGAGATAGGCTGCCAACGTCGCAAAAGGTAAGTAAGACATTTCTAAATTTGTAAGTAAATCGAATGCTATCTTAATTTTCTTGAACAGAGAACAAATTTCCTTTATTGGTTATCTCTGAGACTCTCATTCCATTTGATTTAATATTTTTGAAGGACGTAAAACGTTAATTTGACGAAACCCAAGGGTCTAAAATATTTGCCTTCACTTTTAGAGCAAAGAGGTTTCTTATCATGCTAATAAATCTCTTCTTGTGTGTCCGTGTCAAATGATGATTTAACTGGTCTTAGATCAAGCTGAGATAAAGCTAAGCAACTCTAGTATGGATGGTTTATCGTAATGCTTTAAGACAGTTTAATCTTATCCGGTGCTGCTTGGATTATTAACCTTGATAAGTCATAGCCTGAGAACTATTGGTACCGATCTCTGGTGTAGGTTCATATATTGTAATAGATGATACCATCCTGACCCGGTTTAATTAACTTGTCTATGATACTTTATTTTGTAGTCATTATCTGAAATGTTGGAACCGGCTAATTCTGCCAATTTCACTATCGCCGCATTGTTGGGCTCGGCAAGGCCACAGCAAGAACTGATAAGGGAATCAACAGTATTTCACGATCAGAGTCTCCACGGACCAACAGATCACCGCAGTGGTTTTCGTTCAATGATAGAAAGTGACGAGGAAGACGATCAGGAAACTGGCATCCAAGGTAAAACTCTGATTTAATTTCATGTTTAAACTGATATCATTTGCTGCCGTTTCAAAACATTTTCAATTGACCGCATTTTAGCTGCCTCGATTACTTGACAGATAACCGGAATGCGGTGACCAAAGAAGAAGATATTAGGGACTCAAAAAGCACCAGAAAGTCGGCCAAAACAAGAAGGAAAAGAACAGCGTTTACAAGTTTTCAATTGAAATGTCTCGAGGAAAAATTTATGATGAATAAGTATCTTACCATTGCTGAGAGGGATATGCTGGCAAAGTCTCTTCAACTCAGCAACAAACAAGTCAAAACGTGGTTTCAAAATCGTCGTACCAAGTGGAAAAGAGAAAATGTCGGAGAAGCGATTCACTTGGCTTATGAAATACAAAGAAGCAGTATTGGACCTTATCACCCTTCTTGGGTTCCTATTTGTCACTGCCCACCGCCTCCCCCAATCTACAGAATGAACACAATGTACTCTTGTCCACCACCAGCATTTATTCCACCTCATGGAGCTCAATAATTTGTAGCTGACAAAAAAAAAAAACAGCACGTGTATGTTTCCTTGTGTTTTGTTTCTATAGTTTGGAATTTGTAGTGTATATAGAGTCGAACAAATAGCATAGAACTCACTTAAGGATTGCCACTGTAAGTGTTTGTTTCTTTACTTCTTTGTGTGTTCGTTTGGTCGTTTGTTGGTTGGTTTGTAAATAAACTAAAACTGACGTTTCATAGCGAAATGCTAAAAGGAAGAGTGTGTTATTAATTATTTTCAGTGGTAAATTGTTCAGTAATCAATAACTGTCAGAAAACTTAACAGTGTGTTGTAGATGCTGTTTGTATTGAAATTCAGCTGAAGGACTTGTTAAAAATACTGAACGTGATCCCGGTATTGAAGAGATGGTTATACTCATTGCAAGACTAAATTGAATATGGAATAAATGACGAGAGTAAGTGTAGCACCAGCTTTCGACCGGGTTATTCGCAAAAGGAGTGAATTAAGTCTTAACTTCATTACTGTCCTAACTGTGCTTCGGTCTGGTCACGCCTTATTTATGAACTGCTAAATAGTTAACCATGCTATTCCTACAAGTATTCGCACGAGTATTCCTAGAAGTGACCTTTACCGTCCTCAGTCATATCCAGTACTTTTCAAACATTTTTGGCATTAGTATAGATATACAAGCGAGATTTTTACAATTATCATTACAGTCTTTCGCATTTTATAGCAAAGATAATGCTTCTCTTTAACTGATCTGAGTTGAAATAAACTTAAGTTATGTATATTAATTGTTAATCAGCCTGATAAATAAATCACTTGAAAATGTCCTATCTTGCTACTACTATTTTCCTCTTGTAACTGAAGATAGGTGTGTTCTTGTTCAAGTTCCCGATAACTAAAATATAAACCCTATAGCTTAGGAGGTAAAATAACATCAGTTGTATACAAATTGTAGGTCTTTTCCACGGCAATGTTGTTTTTTCATTTACTCTCAATGAGCAGTACCGTTGCTTTTCTCACCCCCTTGCCACATGTATAAAAAGTTTCAATTTTTACGTTATTTTTTCCGCACGATTAGGGTTTAACTAGGGTGTAGGGTAAAAGTTACAATGTCTCGAAACAGGAGGACTAATACAATTATAGTTTTATTCTGGTTATGAAATGTACTTAGTCTGGAAATAAGCAAAAATGTCAGCGGCAGTAAAATCTTGGGTAACTAGATCAGGGTCAAGGGAACTAAACAAAGTGAGGGATGTTCAATTACAGCTGCTAACGCCATGCTCTTGAATTTTTTGAATTTTGTCCCGCCCACATATGAGGCCAAGGAATCCAGCAAGTAAACGCATTATAGATATTTGATGACTGTAATAATTTTTTTTTCAAAATTAGCTAAAATTGTAATCGAGTGGCAACTGAGCAAGAAGGATATCTGCTTTCGAGGAAATGTCATCTTAACAACAATCATCTTAACAACAATCATTTGTGGAATAAGGCGCTTCAACAACAACATCTTTATTCCAGCATTCTATGCATGGTGTTACCGATACAATGGGAATAAATAAACAACAAGCCAACTAATATTGCAGATAAGATTACAATTAAGAAATATGTTTAAAAAGAAGGACGGTGTATTTCTTAAAGGCCCGAGAGGTACCACTTGGATCGCTGGCTTAAATAAGAATGGTAACTGTTGCTCATGCCTGTAATTGATTCCCGTTCCCTTTTATTCAACAATCTGTGTAGATACGGTCCGAGTTTTGACCCTGCCTTTTGTAAATTGACCATAATTAAAAAATTAATACAAAATCATCTGACTTGCTCTTTCTCTATGACTCGTAAAACAAAACCAGCAGTCATCTACGTATATAGGGATCAATGCAATTAAAAATAATCAATTCCACTCTGGCTTCATTGTCGTTTTAGTTGATCTCTCTCTTGAAAAATGTCTGCACTGGCATCAAACACCACTGATTATTCCACTCACTGTGTAAGACTTAAACTTATTTTATGGCATGTCAGTTTAGTTTCCTTCTTCGACATCTGGATGGAGACAAGAGAACTTTAGTTAGGAATATTGCTAGTTTATAAGGTTCTCAGGATGCACCAAGAATTTATATTTAATATATAATTAAAATTAGAGGCGATCGATATGTCGAGTTTTCTAATTTGATACGACAGGCGACATTCACCGCTCTTTTTTTCAACAGAGTGGTTTTCCCGTTTCTTAAAATTAATGCTTGTTTTCATAGGCCCAGGATATCTGAACTGAATGGTATTAATTAAAGGACAAAACTGCGGTATTGGGTAGAGTAGAAAGAAATCTTCGACATTTATCGACAAACCCTTGTTTTGAACGTAAGAAAAAATCCGCACTTTTAATTAAAAGCTAATGAATTCCAAGGAAGTGTTATTCAAAGTATTAAGTTTTCTCCAATTTGATTTCATTCTAAAGTGCGACAGCACTTTTAAGTATCACTGCAAGTCATCAGAAATCACTGTTAATCTGCTCTGTAGCGCGCTGAGGCCAGTTTCCCGAATGAGACGAATCTAAAAATACATATGAGGTAACTGGGAAAGAATACACCCTGCCTTGTACCCCTTTTGCGCTCAGTGTAACCAGAGAAAGATATATGGATTGTATTTCAAAGTCTTGAAAGCTTTTGAATAGCTAGCTGTTAGCGTACACCATATTCAAAAGTGAAGAAGCTGTTGGAATCGATGGCTCAAACATCTTATGACATGAGAGCAATCATCATTTGTAGATCATGTTGGACTTGACTGACCCCCGTGATTTTAATCCAACAATTCTAAGCTACACAAAACGAATCGTTCTTGACCCATTAACGAACAGCCTGTTAAGGATTATCTGCCAAATGTCTTTCATTTCAACTCTTAAACGATTTAATCGCCTCTTAGTAAAACCACTATCTCGAGAGTAATAAACGATTATAAACAAACACGAGATCAGACTAAGATAGAAGTTATCCACTTATGAGATTAGAATCTAAACAGCTTTCGGTAACCAGTGCGGGTGTACATCTGATTTACATCAGGTCCCAAGATTGATCACTCAGACCAACCAGTCGGGAAATGCGGGTAATCTTGAGGATTTAGTGGAAACTGATGTTTGGGGTTACGCATGTCCTTCGAGCCATTCGGTTTTTGGCACGCGACGCGATTTCTCCTTTAGCAGGAGAATTTCGTGCAGATATACAGATCTTGTCTAAATATTCCCTAAAGGCCTGGTTCTTCTTCATGGTAAATTAGGAAACGCACACGTTATTTCTAAAAACAACATGAGCTGGCAAACTTGAAGTCGGAAATGGTCAATGTAAAGATTCAGGGAGCTATCATGATGATAACTTACCAATTAAACTCTTAGTGGGGGAGGGTCTCTGCTTGAACTGCGTATCTTTCATCAAGGGGACAATCAGGAGGTTTATTTTTTTAAAAACTTTTCTGCCACTATTCGTCACATGGTTTTCATGGCTCATCGACACGATGGGCCATGAAAACGATGAGAAAGAGAGAACCTCTAAGTCCGCTTTGTTTTGGATCTTTAGTAGACAGAATTTTCAGACGCGACCAAAAGCTTCTTATTTAAAACCAAAAATCCACTTCTGTCTTGTTGCCGGTTTACTCAGTAAACTAAATCCATTTCGTCGTCGCTCTTTATACCTTAATAAATGGCAATCATGGCAAAGGAAATCTGCCAGTAAGTTTTTATTGTAAACAGCTCAGGGAAACGTCACAGGTGTAAACTGATAATCTTGAGGATTAGGCAATTGTCTGGCAATATGGGCTTGACATTTGTTGAACCGGGATTCCTCGTGCATCTAAAGAATTAACTGTCCCATCACGCAATCATAACAAATGATAAGACACTTCTTCCTGAGGCCCTAGATAAATGGACGTTAAAACTGGATAGACCTGATGTCATCTTTTAGAGTCATTTCGTCGTTTATATTTGAAATATTTGTCTTCAGAAACGTTGGAAACCGGAAACAAATTTAGAGCCATGATCAATTTACGAAAGTATATATCGCTGGTAAAATATAATGATTGCCTTAGCCGGCGAAGTATTTGATGATCTCATTAAAAATGACCCATCTCTGGTACCGACCGCTTATATGTCAGTTAAGGTAACTCCAATCATTTACCGGCCCTTTGTTCTGTAAAGTGGAAATAAGTGAAGGTTAGCAGACTTTATCTAATTGGCTGTCAAACAAATTAGTGCCGTCCGGATGTTGGTATCATAATATTTAGCAATTACAAATAGTTGTTGCCTTTAATTTAGACCTGCCGAAGGGTGTATACTTGTTCCTCATAGGACGACTTCATGGCATCTTTTAGCATAAACGCGATCTTAGGAAACGCAAAACAAATAAAAGAAGAGACAAATGGAGGACAAACGTATCTTGAGGAATCGAAGGAGCTTACAGGTTTGTGCTCTTTTACTAGAAAATCGTTTCTAATCAAGTAACGCGGATTTACTGAGATAGATGTCCTAGCTCAAATCAAAAGTTCAAAATTCAACAAAACTTACGACCTCCCTATTTTTAGATCATTACCCTGCAGAATCATTGACGTGTGCCGATGAACACAACTTCACCGACAATACCGAGATACCTACACAAGAAGCGGATCATGTGAACAAGATACGAAGAAGAAGAACCGCCTTTACAAGTAGTCAACTAAAATCCTTAGAGAAGAAGTTTCGAGATAAGAAATATCTAACGATCACAGAGAGAAACAACTTGGCCAAGAACCTTCGTCTTACCGACACTCAAGTCAAAACTTGGTTCCAGAACAGGCGTACAAAATGGAAAAAACAAATGGCTCCAGAGTTTGATACAAGCTTTCGGTGGGAGGAAGCAAACGCAATGTTTCAACCGATACAGACAGTGTTTCCTTGTTATGGACAACTTACACATCCAATGCACTCTTTACCGTATAACTACAACGTCGTGCCAAGTTTTTGTCCTTCATCAAACCTCCAAGTAGTGCAGTCAAATATTTATCCATTTGCGTCAACTCGTGGCCACGGGATAATATGAATACTTATATTTAAGAAGCAGTTAGCTGTGCTTGTTATTGCCTTGCCAGAAACTCTGTTGAAGCATGTATCTAAACGTCATGGGACAGCTGAGCATCATATGAATGATTCTCTTGTCTCTAACATACTATTCCACTATGTCTTCATAGACGTTTACTGAACAAATATCGTGTTAAATGAAGTAATTTTTAGTTTTAGGAAATATTGTAGCTGTCTGTAATTCTGTTGAGAATAGTCTAGGATTGATTGCTGACTTTTGTCCCAGGGAATGCAGGAAAACGAAACCAAAGGAAACCACAACAAATCATCGGGTTCCTCTTTTGTGCTTAGAATCTGCAACGCCTTGGCCGAAATGTCTAACAATAACTGAAAGAATTTTAATTAGGCTGCCGAGATTTCTTGTTGGTAGGTCTTTATTTATTCGATATATTTTTCATCGAAAAACCTCAGTTTACCAATGAGATCCTTTTGGAAATATCCGGTAAACCATATCCTCCAGCTTGCTCAACCACATGCTCTGTCATTTTAATGTTAAATCATTATAGACCTCATTTTTCCTTAGCAATAATTAACAAATTTTCCACTTGATGTTAAAAGGTGTTTTCATTTGACAATACACCCGAGAGTCAACCGCCCCAAATGTGTAGACTTTCTTATTCGTTGTAAAAATCCTATCAAAGGTCAAGAGTAATGAGACGCAAAAAATAAAATATGACAAATACAGCGTGGTTAACTGTATTTAATGCATAAAATGGACGTTAAGAACTGTGTGAATCACTTATTGTGTTCCACAGATAAGATACTCTAAGGTAGCACATTTACAGCATCGCCCCGGCGTTCTGTTTGTCTCCTTCTGGTACCCTGGTCTCAGAGGTTTTCTTCTTCTTTCTGTTACTGAAATGAAACATCCGTCACGGCGGTCAAAACGAGCGGAAGAATAAAACTAACCCGTCGCTTCCCGATTCGATTTTACCGCTTCACCGTTTAAATTTTAAGAAACTTTTGGACCTTTCTTCACAAAAATCTCATCGTCTTTTAATTAACATGGATCTGTTTATGTTTTTCCTCAGTTAAATAGACGATTCGATCGAGGCCTTGATCTACTGTATTTCTTTTTATTCCAAGCTTTCCCCGATCTACAGCATCGTAAGGAAATATGAAGAAAATATCCTACTGTGAGCTGCATTCACCTGAATATCGCTAATATATATAATTTAGATTCCACATTCAGTGAGTACCGAAAGAGGCCACAAGACTTTGGCAGACTTCAATTTGCAATCAAGGAGGGTTTTTTAAATTTATTTTTATTTATTTATTTATTTATTTACTTATTTATTTTATTATTTTTTTTTTTCATAAGCTAACTGGTAAAACTGAAGAGAGAAGAGAAGATTCCTCATTAAGTAATAAATTAATTTCTTAACCAAAATAGGTCATGAAAAGGACAAACTTTGGCTTAATCATTCGATCAAGGTAAATGTTCCTCACTGAATCAATAAGGAAGGTTCTTCAATTCAGCAAACAGCATTTTTCGAGGACACGACATAATAAAGAGGACAGATAGCCAGAAGTAACTGCAATTAACTGTATTCTTAAAGTCGCAGCCTGACGGGCGTTTAAGGAGACGGCTCGTTGTTCTATCCTGGTTAAAACGTTTCTCGACCCAAATCAAGCTTCTAGGTTTAGGTAAAGTTTGTATTCGGTGTCATTTGTAGTAGTAGTAGTAGTAGTATACTTTATTTACCCTCGGATTGTAGAGTAGCTTTATCAGCTAATGTCTCCGAGCATTTCAACAGCAGAATGGGCAAAGACCAGACCACAACACTGGGAACTTCGTGCCCTGCTCTCTCAATCTCTCATTATCCTCTATGATTTTTTGTTGTTTTCAGTATAGAAACATAAGCTGAACCTATCTCATGAATAACAGCTATTATATCACATCAAAATGTTGAAATACCACAGACTTTGAGGAGTTGGCAAGCAAGAATGCATTTCTGCCTCCTTTCACTCGTCAATTTGTTCTACACAGCTAGTTTTAAAAACAGATAATCTTGGCAGCTGTACAGCCGCTTTTCGCATTCTTTTTTTGGAAGTGCTAATTCCTATTAACTCTTTCATATCCCATTTACCAGCACAGAAATATTTCGGTCTTATTTTCGTTCCTTTAATCAATTCCAAGACTAAGAAGACGCTATAAGCAAAAGAATTCTGACATCTGCGATGCTTTAATGCTACCTCTAGTTGCCGCCTGTAAAACCCGTAAACATTGCTAAACAGACTCCCAATAATGTACCGACAGCCTTTTTACTCTTGGCCTAATTTTTTTCAAAGGAATTTTTCTCCTGGTACTTAAAACGTGCTTTACAACTCATCCGTCTTGCACTTATCGTTTCTAGTTAGTAAGTACTTAATACCATCAAATACCTCTCAACGAAAACACCTACTTAATCGGGAAATGACCCTGTAATAGTGACCGATACTCGACCTTTAAAGTGCAATAATAGTATTAAACTTTTAGGGTTCTGATGGGAGGCGCGTTCTATATACCTCCAGGCCTGTTTCAGGATCGAAAAACTTAGATTATATGACTTGTTTGGTATGCTCCCCTGCTAAATAAGGACAAGTTTAAGAAAAGGGAAATAATTATTTTTAATATCTATTGATTTCCTGAAAGGGAATTTTATGTATTAAATTTTCTATTTAGAAGATGACGTTGCATCCGCCCAGATGGCGGCACGACACTCTGTCGTCGTATAATAAATTACAATACAATAGTCTTTCTGGCTAAGAAAGCTTAATGAAAAAAAAAAAAAAAAATTGAGGAACTCTGACCTGTAAATGAATTTTATTGAGTGTTATCTGTTTTCCACGGTGGAACAAACATTTCGAGGCTTCGTCCTTGAAGCGATATCGATTGTCTCTGTAGTACTTAACTTTAATCTCGTTATTTGGTCAAGAAAACAACTTGTGAGCCATCTTTTCATTGTGGAGGCTTAAACAAAAAAGTAGGCAAACTTCATAAAGGTTACTCGGTGAAAATTTTTTAATTACTGTCGTGTTCGAATCCCTTTATCTCAAACCGTATCTCAACCAATTAATGCTCCGTGGGAGAGATCGGGAGATAAATAGGAGATACAACATGTGTGGATGTCGTGGCTAAAAAAGTTATCAAATTAGGTGCTCAAAGTTAAGTAAGTTAACAAAGTCAACAGTGTTAACATACATAGGCAGTTGTTTTCGGGGTAAATTGAAAGGTCGTGATGGCGGCTTTTTCTCAGGGCTAAATCTTGGCTCTGCTTCATGTTCATCCTTGCCTTTGGGTTAGTATGGGTAGCCAGAGTAGTTCTCCCAAGGTACATTTGACATTTTATCGTCTATATTATAAATAACAACATAATCATTTTACAAGTGAAATTTAATATTTCTTGCTAGAAAGTTGTCTTAATCTTTTGAATTGAAAACAACATTCTAATGACGTCATATAGGCAGATACCAACTTAACGTTTGTGGGTTTTTTTTGTTTATTGCAAAGTGGAATTACATCGTCAGATGTCTTGACCTTTCAAAGTTTCTCGTTGAAAGTAATAACTTTTATCTCTTGCGAGATCGTTCTATGTAATTATGAAATAGCAAAGATCTGACTCTTTGATGATTTTAAATTCATTTAGAGTACAAAGTTTTCACTCAACTTCGGCGATGGTTCCCAAATAATAACATTTCATACAAACCAATATGGCCACCATTAAAACAACAACAACAAACTTATATTCGCTCTTGTACTTACAATTTATATATATCTAACTCACACACACACATATTAATAAAGTACAAATATTGAGCCTGGAGGCTAAAGACGCTGATGTAACGTCTTTTTTATTAAAGTGTTGCTATTTCATTGGCGAATGCTCTTTCCTGTAAATTGAAGCGTTTTCCCAAACTAGATTGCTGGCTCAGTCGGTCTAACATTTGATAGATTATCAGTGCCTCATAATGGGAGGAATTGTGGTAGATTGATAAGTGATTTAGATTTGGCATGATTTGATGGCAAAAAAGCAATTTCTTGGTTTGCGTCTAGATTCCTTAGAAATTCGTACATTCATAGAAGATCTTCGCACCAGTTTTATTCTCTCCCTTTTTCACATATTCAAGAGGCCTCTCGGTACAAAGTTTTTGTCCACTTGTAACTCGAACGTCTGGTGGATTCCTTCTTAATCTGTCAAGAAATATTAAAAAGTTCCATTATACGATTATAATTGCACCAAAGAAGAAAGTTAACTTTAGGGTTTAGATATTTTATATTTAAAAAAGGTAAAAAAAAAAGTATCATAGTATTTTTATCGATTAAGATCTAGAATTGTATGTTCAACATATAAATAACAAATTAACAAAATTAGATATGCGCTTAGATATAATGTGCTGTTAATGCACTGTAAGAGTTTTGTTCTATACTTATATATCCCTATAGCTAACTAAATGATGGATTTACGAGCTGGGGTACTACATGTGTCCACAATGCTATATGTAGCTGGACGTTTTATAACTTGAGAATATCTTTAAAGGAAAAAAACAACAACTTATTTGTACTCATTCAGCTAGAAATTAAATGAACAAAAACAAGTGTAAAATAAAAAGAGTACATGGCTGCCCGAAGTAACCTTAATGGACTAATAAGACTGGGCAGCCATCCTTATTATATACAAGATTGCAATGGCGAACCCATGCTGTTCTCCCGCATGCTTCAAATGTTCGTCACTATAATACCAGATACGCTTGCTTTGCTCAACATATATGCTTTTGCTCAACAAAACCTGAACAAATTATGGCCTGGCAAGATTATAGCAAAGGCTTAAAAAATCTTGGCAATTCCAACTGAGATTAGATGTATCCCTTTAAACCAATTTAGAAAAGAATATCAACAGAGTCTCCTTGGCAGCTAGACATGAATACTGAAATATTTAACTTTCAGCTTCCTTTTATTCACTTTTTTCTCTAGGTTAGGATGTAATTTCGCGTTTGCGTTCTTTATTGATTTTGTTCTTCTGTCAACTAAACCGACTTGTAAAGCGTAATAAAATGAGCAACTTATGCGTATGACATGTCACATTTCAGCTTATTTGTAAACTAAGGCTTTGTGTGCTTTGTGCGTGCTGTTAATTTGGCGTGTCTTGTATGACACTAATAAAATTAACCTCACACTGAACTTGTACCCAGTTTTTCGCCAATGTGGTTTAAATTGCTTTTTTTCTTTTTTTTTTTTTGTTACATGTACAACAAAACAAGTATTAAAAGTTACATTCCAGAACAGATGTTTCGGTTTGTTATTTTTTTTCTTTTTCTTTCTTTTTTTTTTTTTTTTTCGTTGCTACTTTGAATGGTTAGGATTAACACAAAGGATTAATTAAAATGATACTTTTGGATTAACCTGATTTGCTCCAGCTGCTTTGACAGGCTTCCGAGAAGCTTAAAGCTTACTACTAATCGAATATAAAGACAAAAGCAGCTTTACATATAGAGGGTCTCCAATTCACACAGCGAAGGTCTTCCAAAATAACAATTGAAAATAAGTCTTAAATAAGCTTTCAATCTTGCTGAAACCGTTTTTGCAAGTTCTGTTCTGTGTTTGCCTTGTGACTGATTTGTTTTTTCACATATATAATATTCAAGTATAAGTTATTTATATGATTTTTATACGCATTTATTTTGCATGTCTGAAACAAATTAGTTATTTTACCGTGCTATTTCCGTACATCCTGCCTATTAAAATATAATTTAGTATCCACTTTATCAGGAAACCATAGCGCTCTTACAGGATTATGGCGAATTACCGAAATGTTTCCCGCAAACTGACTGTGCACTGACACCACTTAGTTCCACAATGAAATCTGTCACAGCAAAAGTACAAGTAATATTATTATACAACCGTCAATAATTGTTGTGATGTATAATTAACACATGAATCCTGCATGATTCATAAATAGTAACTACCACTTAAAAAAAGCCGCCAGGAATCTCTTAAAAAAGGAAGAGAAAGAAGTGACCTTCTCTGTCACAACAGTGTTATAAACGTGCACATTATTGCATCACAGTTAAACACGATAGCCATCTGTTCCACCCCTTTCTTTTGTTTACAAGTTGTAACTCAGAGGACATTTACTGCAAAAATAATCCAATCTTAACATTTAATATTATTTCAAATTCATTTTATTTAGTTCACATGATTTTATTATTATAGGATCAACCAAGTTATTATTGAAACTAGTGCTGTAAGAAGTCTCCCCGTTGCACAGAACTATTCGTTAAAAGAGCTCAGTCACGGTATTTTGAGTTGCCTTTAAGTGGTAGGAAATCTGAAAATAACAGTTTAATAAGATAGAAAAACACCAAAGAGATAATGATAAACCATAAAGGAACAAGGGTGGCAAAGGATGGAGAAGATTAACACGGATTACAAACAACGAATCTGAGGAATTGAGGCTAAACCTTTCAATATGCGCAAACCGTGACTGAGCTCCTTTCAAAAACTTAAATCATACATAGCCTAGTAGGTGGACCAAATTTGTAGTAGGCCAATAAGATACTGTAGCTCGTTAATGCTTTCGTACTGTCAAGACTCTGTCAACTGAACATTTCATTTCGCTTTACTTTGAGTACAAAATTCAATTTAGTTCTATACTTTTTATAATGGATTTATACGGAGATCCATCATGCTCCTCATGCAATATGGTGTTGGAGAAAACCTGCTGTGTGCTTGTAGCACTTTATGTGGACAGTGAATGAAAAGCTTATACAAATAGCAGATAAATTTATGAAAATCTAATTTGAATGGAGCCCAATTATTGTTAATACAAAGGTAAGGGACGATGGTGCAACCCAGAGAATTATAGGAATTTAACACTACAAACTGTATGAAAAATGGAGATCTTGTTCCACTGTGATATCACACTGGGCTGAATATAAACTGCAGTGCGCAAATGATGACAAATTCCCTGTCTTCAATTATTACTCACAGCTTCGACACAACAAATTGGTGTTCTATCTTTACTAAATATTGCAAGTAAAAGATATCGTGGCATCAACATATCGATATTAGTTAAATGTTATATGATTTAGATGTCAATAAAACATGTTCACTTTCAGTCAAGACACTCGAGTTCAGGGTTTCTTAATGGTTGTTTTTCAGTGGTAGGTAGACATGTAATTGTACAAAGACATATTTGAATACATGTCTTGCAAATAACTTGTCTGGAACCAATTTTCTAAAGGATAACTCCAAGCTTCCACTTTTGGCGTCGGCATGTTTTGGCTGAAGAACGTTCCGGATTGAAAAGGTGAGTACCGCTGTGCGTAAACACAAGGCGAGGAGTTCCTGTCCTCGAGCAGGTCTGACTCGAGTTCTGTAGAGATCTGTTTCTTCCACTTGGTCCGTCTGTTTTGAAACCACGTCTTGACTTGAGCGTCGCTTAACTTTAGGCTCTTGGCCAAGTTGTTTCTTTCGCTAATGGATAAGTATTTCTTTTTCGTAAATTTATGTTCTAGTGATTTCAGTTGTCCACTGGTAAATGCCGTGCGCCGTCGCCGCCTTTTAAGAATGAGGCAGGCATCGTGTGAGAAAAATGTCTTCAAATCGTCCTTGCAATTTTCCTCCTCTTCACTCGTGAACCGCTTTTCTTTAACAAACCCTGATGAATATACAAGAAACACCGATCAAACATTTAGCGACTTAACACAATCTATTGTTGGATAATTTTTGCTAGCAACAACTTAAAAAACGTACCCATGTTGCCATCACGTTTTTCTTCATCGGCGTTTCCAGCACTGCATTCAACCGTCCTGACAGCAGCATATTCTTGTCGTTTTCCCAGTATTGCATCGATAGTAAAGGATGACATTTTGGTGTTGTTGACAAAGTTGCAGTAATGTCGCAAAAAAAAAAAACACGCTTTCGTTCAATTGTAATGTCGAAATAAATGAATATAAGCTAACCGGGATGATAATAAATCACCGTAAGTATTAAATAGCTCCCATAACAGATTGTCAAAGATAATTTGTTTGGTTTCAAATGCTATAATAGATAGCCACCTCTCCCCAGGAAATCACTTAAAAACACGAGAACCGACACCTTATGGGAAATATATCTTAAAAGGAAATGAAAGAGCACTAATGAGTTCACAGATTCCCTAGTCCCGGCAGGATGAGAAAATTGACCCATATCACGCATCCAAAATCTCCATTATACTGCATGAAACGTATAAATACGAACTGGCCAGTTAGACTACGAAAAATGTCCAACACAAACGTTGTTATGCTGCCTTTTAAAAAAGCGGTTTCATATCGAACAGATCCGTGGACTAAAGACAAGATATTTATCTCAGCGATATTTTTGTAACACTAAACTTCTGGAAGCAACAAGACACACAGCAAGAGGAAAATAGAATAGTTATAATGTCACTCACCAGTTCTATTCATCACTGCAGGAGCGTAGGGCTCCCAAACATGCAGTCGATTGGCCAGCTATCTCCGTTCGTGACTTTCTTACTAAGAAAAAAGTATCTTCATCTTATAGAAATCTTAGTGTTCCATGTAATTCCCAATTTCTACAGTGAGATTTTACTTGGTTGTCAGTTGTTATTTACCGCAACTCAAACATAGACCAGTGTCTTTCCATTCTCAAGAATTTGTCTTGCTCCTTCATTAAAATGTCATACCCTGTGCGGAAAAGTTATTTTGCCAGACATGGCGAGCCACACCGTCTCGTTATTTCAGTTCCATTCCTTCTGTTTTTAAGACGTTAGCTAATAGCATTTTGAAGAAACCTTCACCAAGAGACAATTGGATCTTTTATCTCCTAGAATGAAAGAGCAACCATTGAATGTAGACAGGATAATAAAACCTTTTTGAAGACATCATTAATAATAAGAAATGTCCTGTCAGGAGGCAGAAATATCTCCATATAACCTTATTCCATCTTCTGTAACCCCCTTGAGAGAATGGCATGGAGGTGGTGCCATTATTTGATTTCTCAAGGTAACCAGCTTTTTACATGCATGTTCATTATATGTTATAAGCTCCGTAACTCCACCAATTCCAATATTTCAAAGCGAAGGCCTGGTACCTGAACACGTTGACTACAAGATACGCCCATTTTGCTTGTACGAGTTATTGCAGAGAAATACCAAAGATGAAAGAAAACGGTTAGAACATAATTTGTCGCATTATTTTGCTATTTCCTTCAGTTGAACTCAAAGACAACATTGTTACACCTTTGTCACATGATAAAACGTTTCAGGAAACAGAAGAGTTCACATCTTAGCCATTACTTATTTATTACAGAAGTTCAAAATATTGTTGATTATTTATTCTAGTTCAAATTCTTAATCAATTCAACACTTTTGAAGTCAACAGCTTCGGGCTTCAGTTGAAGTTTAATAATCTAGGTGGCCTTTATAAACAGTATCAAGTTTAACTTTACACAGCAAAACGTTTGCTTAAATCATTATCCAACACAATGAAGTGTTACAGTATTGTAAGCGCTTTTGTCATACTTGTGTTAGTGATAAGTGTTGGTTGGGGGAAACACAAAGGAAGGCGACTAAAGAACCATCGCCACAAACACGTGCAGCTGTTTAATGTTAAACACTTGAGACATTCAAAGAATGCCAAACTACTGGCTTATCATGGTCACATACACTTCAGAGGTTAGTAGATGGTATCTTTATTTTCACTGTGTAGCTTGCACTATTGATCTTCCTTAGTAAGAAATAAAGGGATACCACATTGACCAAGTTGATCTTGTTGTAACACCAGTAAGGGTTCCTCTTTTATTGTGCTACTGAGATATTCACAGGCTTCCAAATTACATTTATCACAAGGTAACTAGAAACTCTTAATTCCAAGTGCATTTTCCATTGTAATCTGAGCATGCGCTTAAAGTACTTCGGTTTTATTGTCGGGATCAATCGAATGGTGAACATTATGCTATCAGCTACAAACAATGGCGCAGTCAAGTAATCTTTTTTTAATTTTCCATTCACGTAAAAACTTACGATTTTGGTTCCTTAGGTCATCACCATCACCATCACCCAGCACGCTTGAAATGTCGTCGAGTTAAATTATTAGTTAATAGTAATCTGCAGTTGAAAAAGAAAACTACAGATGCAATGAAGAGACATTTGAGCAAGAAACACGCAAAGAGAATGTTACACAAGTTTATCACGAGCAGAAAACACAAAAGGTTTCATTTGTAAGTAAGAGGACGACTTTAATTCTATATCCTTCTTTCATCTTCTTCTTGTTTTATTCTTTTTAACAAATATTTTCATTTTTTTGGTCCCCTCTTCTTCCTTAACTAGAATCCAACCATACGGGCGTAAATTCATTGGGCCCGATTGCATTTCTTTGATACCTTCTTACCCGAAGACGTTGATCAATCAAGTTGAGTTTGCCAATTAAACGCTTGGTTATTTTTTATATAGAGAGCATGTCTCCATATTCGATATTCCACTCGTAGACCCAAAGACACGAAGCTATTTAAAGATAAAGAAGGGAACTTAATCACCTACATTGAAGATTGTGTTGCTTCTGGTAAGAAAATTTGTTAATGGAACGTTTCAAATGCAAAAGTGTTAGCTACTATCATTTGTAGACTTACTGATAACTGTTTCGAATGTCCTTGACGCAGTTTTGTTTGCAATGTGTAATAATATCTGTTCCAGAAAAGAACTGTAATGCAAATGTTCTATTCAAGAAATATTTCCCAGAGAATACAGGGAGATATGAACCTCAGAGCATGCATGTTTTTCCTTGGGGTTTTGGAACAAATATTAGAGAGATTAAGCATGACGTTTACTTCTGCCGTCTGTCTTCAGCTGTTTGCACAGTAGCGTGAATTTATTTGTTTTTGTGATGAATAGTAGGAGACGTTTTTTTATATCTTTTTGTGATAAGAAGAAAACGGCAGAACATCAGCGGTAATTTTTGCCGTTTGTCGTAAAACGTCATATTTGACCTCTCTGTTGATTTGCAAGAAACTGGAAAATGTTGGAGAATTAGTGTTTACTGGTTAAATCGTGATATTATGTCATTGTCTTAGAATTTTGAAAAGTTACCTACTATTTATTTGATAATATTTGTTGTTACGGTCATCTATTTTGACGGCCCCTGGATCACTTAAGAAGCGAGTGAAAGATCATGTTTGGTTTCCTAGATTGGCTGGGTTGTATTGAGATCGCATTCGTTTTAATGTTATTATTTCTTCCTGCGAGAAGGCTTTTGGTCACTGGCATGGATAAAAAAGACCAAAAACAATTATTTTTGGAAAGTTATCTAAAAACCACCAATGCAAAACCAATGGGTCGAAAACGTAATAAACTCAGTGAATCAAAATATATCTATCAAAAGATAATTACACAAACAAGATATAGAATAAATAAAATTAAATAATTAGATACTTCGTATAGCTAGAATATTAGATTTTTTCTTCTGATATTTGGTGACAAGTATTCCTATATGACTGACCAGTCATTTTTTGTTTGTTTTCGTCAGATAATAGCCGAGAAATTCGCAATTATGTGCAACGTGCCCATACATTCTCTGTAATCAATGGCGTTCCCATACATGTTCTGTAATTTAACAAATAATTTTTTCGAACTCGAGTATTAAAGCTAGAGATGTGAAATTTTGCAGACATCATCTTTGTACCATTGACCATAAAACAATCTATTTTGATAAATCAATAAAATTTAATTAATTACTAAATTAATTAATTGATGATGGGTATCATCTAACAGAGCTGTCATTTCTTTTGAGAAAATGCAGAGAAGAAGAACTTCTTTGAAGGTCAAAATGAAATGTTTATAGGTAGGTAATTTTAACCTTTTTTACAAAAATTTAAAAAATTGGAAAACCCATACTACACCAATTATTGACAACACGCACTACTTGGTTATAATAAAAAAAAGTAGTAAGTAATGAGGATTTAAAATAGCTACAAAATTCAAAAGGAAAAACGAACGAATGAATGAATAAATTAATGAGGGGGATTTTTTTGAGCTTTTCTGATTAGTTTTGCTTGAAGTCTTGAAATTAAGGTTAATGTTCTCGTTGAAAATGTTCTTTACAAAGTTTGCTTTTTGTTATAAGCTACAAACTGTCAGAATTAATCTTTAAAGTTTGTTATGTAACACGTATTTGTAGTGCTTGCATTCACTTGCGGTATTTTCATTTCCACGTTGCCTTTTTTGGTTTGTTATTTTTCTCTAGCTCCAGCATATGATGAGAAGAAAAGTCGACATGATCATCACTCATCAGAGAACAATGACGGTTAGTTTGTGCTTCCCATGTGTTACTTTATTGAGCACCACTCGGTTAGTCTGTACTTCCCATATACATAATACTCTATTCAATACAGCTCGGTTCTCCTTTTATGTCATTTCTTCGTGACACATGTACATGAACATCTTGAGGATCAAAATGTGCACATTACATCTTTCAATATTAGTATTCCAGAGAATAACACAACACTCTATTTTTAAAGTAACGACATAAAAATTGGCAATACTATATTTTTCATTTCTAAGGCCATTTAACGGCTCTTTCTCATGACCGTTTAGTGTTGATTTATGTGTCTTTTTGCAGTTACAACTGTGCAGGCAAATGAAAATGACGTCAATGATGAAGGAATTCTCCCAGCCTCTGAAGGTACATGAGTTCCTATATATAGTGCAGCATTTCAGAACAACGTACGTAACAACTCTGTCGGTCAAACGGTACAATAAGTTATCAAGCTACTGAAAGCGAAGAACACTGTGTCTGAGAAGGAAAACGTTCAGACGCCTTTGTTATCAACATAGAATGTATTCTAGATATGCCTCTATGAACACAGAGAGTTAAGTTCTTGGGATTAGGTTGTGTTTTTTTGGGTCGCAGCCAGTAAGGTATTTTATTGATTCTACAGATATCCTCTCAGGGCCAAAGAAGTCGTCAGATTAAACTCGTCGCACTGTAAGCCCGTCACGTAGAGTCTGTACGCTGATGCTTGTCGGCTTAACCTAAGTACTCGGATCGACTATGGTCCAGAAAATTGCTCAAAGGAAACCGGCTTTCTTCAGAACCTTCAACAACCCAGAGGTTTCCCCCAGCCTGCTCCCAATAAAATAGAATAAAATATCATATATCATATCATATCATATCATATCATAATAATAATAGTAATAATAATAATAATAATTAGTAGAATGTGTATCGTAAAGTTGAGAGTGATTTTCTTTTGTTTCTGTTTACTTCTCGCGCACAGTAGATGACACAAACCGCAAATACTTTTGTCACATTTCTGAGACATTTTAAACAAGCTCCTCTCAGTTTCATTCCTTTCTGTAAACTAAATTTCGCTTCCTTTATCTTCCTTTTTTATGAACATGATCCTCTTTCTCACTTGGTAGGTTACTCTAAAATAAATATAGGGTTGTAAGTGAACATTTACTGTCGGATAAAACCTGAATTAACAAACAGGACATTTTGGCTTCAATTTATTCAAGCGAATTTCTTTCATCTGACTAAGAAATGATTCTCTCATTCCTTGTTATTTTTATTTACTTACTGTTCAACAACATTGAATTACCCAAGGTTTAAATCAAGCCTATGGTCTATTGTTTACGTGGACAATAATATTGTCGTACTTCCCTCTTCTTAACAGACGCGTTGCTTCACACAGTATCTGATTCAACGGACATTTTAAAGGATAGTGCACAAAAGGAAGGTAAATAAAATTAAAACTGAGTTCACCCTACGGGAAAGACACTTTTTATTCTGACTACTTTGGTGTCGAGTGAAAAATTACGTGAACAGCTTAACTTGGGCATGTCTTCCGACTCTCTTGTTATCTCGAGCTCAGTTCTTAGTTCAAGTAAGTAACCTTGTGGGAGGAGCTACCTTGTTAAAGGGGCTAGGTCACGCTATTTTGGGTAATTTTGTTTAATTTTGTTAATTATGAGCTCTAAACGTCAAATTGGCAGAGTAAAAGTCTTTCATTTGCAAAATCACGGCCACATAACAACTGAGAATGATTTTCCAGCTGTGTAAATGACATTTTGATATAAACTGATATAAACTGGAAAAAAGGCGGGCCGACGTTTTTCAAATTCACCCAAATGCAATCCATTTCAATCCTCTCCAGTTTTGTCCATCCATGTCCCTCCTTGGCTGTTATCACATGCATTAGCACGTGCCTGTAGGGACCTGTTCCCGCGGTGCTTCAGTCTATTTAGTATTCTGTTATAGCTTGAAGTTCAGTTGCAATCGTGTGGAGTTCGAGTAAAGTGTATTTCGTTTTACTCCGTGTGTGTCCTTCATAATATTACATGGTGGCAACGAGCGGAAAATTGGTCTAGTTT